CAATCAACACACAATAGCCAAAAAGCTTAACATGGGCACATCCATGCACCAGTGCTGTTATAGCACACCAGTTATTGCTGCCCAGCTCTTAAACTCTGCAGGATTGTAAAGCCTGTCAATGTCATCTCATATATGATGTGAACGTAAGTACAAGATTTGCCTCCATCAGCTGGATTTTTGGCGGGATTTGTTTTTGTCAAAGTGTAAAGGAACATAGAGCTGTATCAAGTCCACATACTGACTTGAAGTTTCAAGGCACTTCCTCAGATCTTCCTCTCTTCAAACGCATGATGGAGGACTAAAACTAAAGCGCTGAGTTGATTCAATGCTTCCCCTTCCTCCCCTTCTTTTCCTGTGGAGATTTTTTGAGTCCTTTATGGACATGTATCTTGAAGGTGAAACAAAAGGTTTTGATGGTTTGCCCTGTTTCCTGACTTCTTACTGATGGCTTCTATTACAGTTGATACAGACCTTGGCAACTGACTACAGAGAAGTCTCTTGAGAGAACTGAGATGATAAAACTAGGTCTCTGCTGAGCTATCTTATGAATAATGGAAATAGACTGATCTAAATGAGGTAGATACCTCAAAAAAGTGTGATTTTTTTTTTCCCCAATGCCTATAAAGGCTAATATCACCATATGAGAAGAATAAATATGATGCTGTCAGTCTCAAGTGATTCCTACATAAAGTGATAGTGTGCATGACAAAGGCAGGGAAACTAAAAAAAAACCCATTTATTTTTCTTTAATAAAGGTTGGAGGAACTGGACAAACAGGACTTGTCTTTTGCCTCCTCTCCCATGTTGTTATTCTGTGTCCTAGAGTAAACTACATGGATAAAAGTAGCATTTCCTGTGACTGCGTTCAAGTTTCACGCCTACCTAGTCTGACCCATAACTGAGGTTATGCTGTTTTCCCTCAGTGAGGAGTACTGATGTTTCCCTACCCAACTCATCCTTGATTTTTATATTATTTTTAATACCACTTGCTCACTTGTTAAAGCTCTACTGTAATTGCAGCCTTTACCCCAAGCTGTTAGGAGAAGGAAACTACACTGATGCCAAGGTTTTTTTTCCTTTCTACCCCAAGCCCTGCAAGAAAATAAGGAACAGAAATTCTTATTTGGCTTCTGTGCCTCACAAAATCTCTGTTGCACCAGAACATCAAAGAATAAAATGAGGGAGGGAATTACCTCAAACATGGACCTTTTTAATACCCAATTCTGCTGACAGGCTTAACTGTGGCTTTTGCTACTTATCTGATGAAGAAATATTCATGACCTCGTGATCAGATGGCACTCTTTACTTTTCTGACTGGCTAATGCTTGATAGGTGCTCCCAGGATCATGCTACTCATCCTTTTACAGGCCTTGCACTAGTCAGTGTGACTTCTGCTCAGCTGCAAGAAACAATTTAGAGCCTGGTGATGCTAGCTCCCAAGGAGATGTGAGGGAGTAGCAGTAGGAGTGTTTAGACAGCTCTTTGTCTGGAAACAAATGCTATTTTAAACTGATTGCTTATATATCTTGTAGTATATTCATGCTATGCATCCACACCAATGCTTAAAGTAGTATGCGTGAATGTTCTAGTGCTCCAGAAATAATTCTTTGATAATTTATATGGTGTATTCTACTCTAACAGTACTAGTCCTGTACCCTTAGAAATCTAAATTTTCTACTTAGCTTCTTTTTTTGCTACTCAACAGCATGGATGATTTGTGGATTGCATCTTAACTGGCTTACAGCTGTTATCTAATGCTCCAGTGGGTAAAATGGCCATGCTTCACAAAGGCTGTGAAGTACAAACAAACTCTATCCTAAAAGGCTGTGAATTCAAGCCCAGGCTCCTTCTATTCAGCCAGGTAACTAGCCCCAGTGATATTTAATTTTGCAGATGCGCATACGTGTCAGCTTTTGTTACCACTGCAGCTGGACTGCCCCGTGATTCACTGCAGAGCTGGCAGGATTGGGGACTTGTAACTGTCGCAGTTCTGCATTGCCTTGGCAGCTTTCACATGCTTCCTGCAGCATCTACTGAAGGGCAGCTGAAGAATCTATTTGCTGCTTGGCACACCAGCAACAAACCTTAGAGGCCTCCGAGGCTGCCATACTGTGATCTTCGTTTGGACAGACTTACTGTCTGTGACTCAGGATTTCTAAATCACTATTTGTAACTAACTGAAACCTCTGTTGCAAAGTGGGTGTGGTGTAATCACTGATGAGGAGCCAGTGGGCTATGCTAGCTTGCCAGGTTTTAATAATGTTTTTTTTAATTTTCAGTGTGGTGGCACCTGGATGGCAAAGTTTTCCATTTTACAATGTCCCATTTTCTGCCTTATTTTGGAAAAAAATAATTACAGGTCTCTTTATTAAAATCAAACAGTGTAGATGGGAGTCAAGGGCCAAAAAAAAAAAAAAAAAAGAAACCCACACAAACCCCATAACACTCATGGCATGCTAACTGGAGGCACACCAAGGAAAAACCAAATTCTCTGTTCGAGTCCTCAGCCTCCCCTGAGTTGCTGCCACTGGCTGTCTCACTTGACAAGACTAGAAACCCCAAGTAATTTCATGGCCAAAGAAATAAGACAGATGTCAGTATTTTTCCTGAAATACCTCTCTGACAGAAATTGTTCAGAGTATTAAGATAATCAAAGCTGGGAGCTGAAGACCTGTGAAGCTGTATTGCCTATGAGGTTTGTTTTAGCTGCATTTCATACTTATTTAGATTCATGGAACTATACATTTATGCTATTTCTAACCCTCAGGCTTCAGCAGAACTTGCAAGTGGAAGTATACAATGTCTACAAAGAAGGTCAGTAAAAAAAACGTTGTTTGAACAAAAACATTTAAATGGTTATGATTTAACAAATGAGGCCAATCAGTCTTTTAAGACTATAACATTCTGTCCTGCTTTCTGGATTTACTTCTACACAGAACGATTTTCCATTAATATAAAAGGAGTGCTGGTATTTATCTCTTGTCTACATATTTCTAAAAGACTTAAGAGTCTCTTAAATGACAGCTTTGGCATTGTTTAAAATGCCAAATGATGACACAAATCGTGCTTCTCTGTACTCTAGTGCTGGCTGCTAGTCAGCACTGCTATAAATCTTACTCTATTGAAACTGTTTTAATTTTCAAATGCCACTTGTTATGAGTTTCAGTAAAGATCTACATGTATGGGATATGATTAGAGATTTAGAAAAATGAAAAAGATAGAGGGAGAAGAAAGAGGAATGAGTTGTTAACATAACTTCCAGAGCAAGAATGAAGGTGTATGAAATTAAACTAGCAGGAAGCAGTGTGAAAGCAAGTGAAGAAGAGTTCATTGCTGAAGGAAATCACGAGGTTTGCCAGAAGTGACTAGGTGTAAAGGAAAAAAATGTATCCAAGGCTATTCAATACTAAAATATAATGTATGGATCAAAGTACCTGCAGTACAAGCAGTACAGGCTGAGAGCATTTCAGTGAAGTAACAGAAATAATACCACAAGAGTTTGCACTGCTCTGCTGTGTAGGCATTTCTATTAAACATGATTGGAAAGAGGTACTGGTATAAATAGACCTTTAGTCTGGCACAGAACAGAGATTTGCCATCTCAAATTTTTAAATTACATTTTGTACAAGTTAGAAATGGTCTTCTATTGTATTTTCCTTCATTGTTCAAATAGTAAGCCCTGGTAGGCAAAAAGGGAAAGATCCATTAATGAGGAAGGGCATGGCAAAGGAAAAACAGAATTTGTTTTTATTAAACTAAACTTCAGAAAGCTGAACTAACTGAAGAGATCTTCAGGTTAGCTCTGCTCTAGACAAACATGAGTAAGAATTCTCTTGGAATGCATCAGGTGAGTATCAGGCTTCCAGCATCTATCCAGTGATCACCCATGCTATAAATGCATGGATCTTCTCAGCACCATCTGTGTCAATACAAGAAACACAGAATGGTTTGAGTAGGAAGTGACCTTAAAGATCATCTAGTCTCAATTCCCTGCCAGAGGCAGGGACACCTTCCACTCGACCAGTTTGCTCAGGGCCTGATCCAACCTGGCCGAGAGAATCAGTCCATTATGGATCTCCCCATGCTATTTCAGCTGTTAAACCTTTTTCTGGTGAAAGAGCCAGGAACTCAGAATTTGCTCATGATGACTATGCTGACACAGGGAACTATCAGGAATCACCAGTAAATCCCATCACAGGGATTTTGCTAAATAGAGGATAAAATAAAACTCCACAAGCTCTGGGAATACAATAAAGAATCTTTTTGTAAGCAGCCCTTGTCTATCTTGGTTTTTTCCAGAACATTTTGTGAATGACTGGCAAGGAATGGAGGTTTATTTTTACCTAATCATTCTTAAACATGGAGGAGGGAAAAACCCAATTTATACTTTCCCTTGTCTTCTTTTCCAGAGCTCTCAGGAGAAAATAAAGTATCTCGGATGCATTTTGGTCTATGGTTCCTCTGTTTCACTGTTAATGTTTGCTTTACTCTGTTGGAGCTTTACTGGGGGGTGTTCAATATAAACACAGAGACTGAGTTCTATAGAAGTCCTTTCAAAGCAAATCTAGTTTTCTCTCTCCTTTTCCAGAGTACCAGTATCCACCATCTAGTCCCTCAAACTGCAGCTTTGTACTAATGTATCTTGAATGTTTCAAAGAGGGATGATCACTGTAATGCTGTTTATAGCTATCTTCCTACTTGAGTCTGCAAGGTTATTGAAAAGAAAAGCAAGGTCAGTATGTAAGGTCTACGAAGTATACAAAACTTTCTCTTCTTCCTGCTTACAAGTTCTTTACTACTGCTCTGTGGCTTAAATTCATAGAGTTGAAAACCATTTTGAAAGCCTTACACATTTATATTTTTGTGAGATGACTCAAAAAATGTTACGTCATCAAATAATTCTTGTTAACATAAAAATAGGTTGGAATTTATTTCCCCCAAGCCTTTTTAAAAGGAAACACCCCCTCCCCCAAATTGTATCAAAACAACTGATACTGAAGTATATGCAGAAATTAATCTTTTTAATTTCTTACATGAAACCCCTCCTTTTAAATAACTAAAACCACTACCTCCTTACAGTAAAGTTGAATATCTAACATTGTTACACTTGGCTCCCACTTCTAGAGTTTAGAGAACAGTTTAGATGTTTCAGAACTGTGCATGTTAATGGTGATGATGTTGAGGTTTTGTTACACGCACACAAATCAAGTCTTGCTGCAACTTTGTCTTAAAGTAAATCCCCTTGATTAACTTTTTCCCCCTTCAGCAGTACTCTTTATTTAGCTAGCTGCCAATATTAGGATAAGTACACTGAACTTCAGCACGTATGTGGAGAAAAAAAATACAGTACAACCTGCTTATTAAAAGCACTGTAAGTGAACTCTCAGCGCTCTGCACGGTGCAAACTGGAGTCCTGTTACAGTGAGGCTTTGTATGTGATAAAATAACTTCATGGAGAAAAGACACTTCAGTGGGCAGTCTGCTAATGCTGCAGATTTGTGGGTGACTCCTCGGTCCTCACCGCTTCCTGCCGATGGTCACGCACGGCACTGCAGAGGCCCAGCTTGACCAGGACGGATGACCCTTAGCACAGGTTTTCACAGCACAAAGATATGGCTGAGCGTGGTTTAACGCAGCTTTCTTTCTTCTTTCTGACTGCAGAGGGGCAGAAGAGGATGCCGGTGTAGGCTGCTGTATGCATACATCTGTATGTTCCAAGTTTAACAAAGCCCTTTCTGGTGTTTTCTTCCTCGTTCTTTGGATCTTTCCTTGCAGTTCACAAGTAGAGAGGTCAATGAGCATGCAGCAGGTGACTGCTGTCAGTCAGATTCTGACTTCTCATTAGATTTGGATGATTTACGCTTCCTCTTTTTTTTCTTCTTCTTTTCTTTTTTTTTCTTTTCCTTTTTTCTCTTTTTCTTCTTGTGTTTATGTTCTGAGGAAGTGGAGCTGCTGCCATCTTCATCATCCTCATCACTGTCATCACTACTATCATCTTCTGAGGTAGAGTCCTCCAGGAGTTGCTTCAGTTGCTGTATCCTGAGTTTAAAAAACGTGAATGAGAACCCTTTCTAGCTCTCCTCTACCTGTAGTAATTTATTCTAGCTTTTGCGTTCCCTTCCTGGCTCGAGGAATGGAAGCTGCATGCAAAGGGTGGGGGAACATTTCCTCTTTTGCTTAATTACACTCCTGTTACAGATAATATCACAGACTTATAAAAGCAACCCCCTTTGAGACAAGCAGATGTTGTGCCTTCAGGGACCTTCCATCTCATGGGCTAGCAAAGGCAGACTGGCTTATTGGCTTATTTATGTGTGCAAAATAATAAGGCAACAGCTATCACCTGACCACCTGGTGATAAGAAGTTGCTTATCCATACACAGAGGCATATTGGGATTATGACATTATGACATTCGGAGATACAGAGATGATATCAGTGAAGCTACAGAATAGGCTCTACTCTGGATGCAGAAGTATTTTTGGAAGGCGAGTGCCTTCCTTTGAACTTTCAAGGATTACTGGCAAATGAGGATGAAGTATTTGCTTATTTTATTACTGTTCTTCAGTATTCTCTTCAAGGATTCATCTCCAAGGAAAAGACAACACACCTGCAGCAGCAGTGCTGCTTTATAGGCTACCTGTAGTTTCTTTCCATTATTCCACTGATGCAGTTCAAGCAAGAAAGTATTAAAAACTCTGCTGCTCTATATACTAAATAATGACCTCACAAAAGAAGCAACACCAGGTGCCTCGAACTAGCTTTCTAAATCCACCCCTTCATGAACACTGAAGGCATTTTGACATGCCAAATTTTGGAAAACATCTTAGCAAAGTCAGTGAAAGAAAAAAAGAAACCAAATTGGGGTTTTTTGGCCTAAAAACCTAAACCTAAGTACCTGAATATTATGGCATAAATGAATACAACTCATCTTTAAACTTTGTTTTGGGGAACATATAGAAGCTAATGGAATTAAAGAGGTAGGAAGTACTACGGAGTCATTGTTCAGAAAGCAGAAATGCCTTAGTCTGCCAACATAAAGAAACTGCCATTAAAAAGATGCTCTGAGCTAAAAGTAAGCTTATATCAAAATTTCACCCATACATTAGTACCATGCTATCAAAATAAAAACTAAATTGAAAATGTACTTTACTACAGATACACTTACCTCTTTTCCTTTTCGTGACGTTTATTTTCCCTTATTATATCGTACATTGGATCTTCATGTGCCTTTAAAGTGGAAAGCAGAAAATCCAATGTTGGTAAATCAAAGCATTTATCACCAACAGTTGTATTTCCTAAAAATATAAACCAAAGCAATCGAATGCAAGAGGCTTTCTATCAAAAGATGGAATATGCTTAGCAAGCTCTTAATTCACAAGTATACTCTCAGACTTAACATCGTTAATCTGAACTGGTGTATTTACTTCAGGGAAAGCTTATCTAATTACATCACTAATGAAGGGGACTCTCCTTAGGTATAATAAATCTTCAATCACAGTTAACTACGAGAATCCCACACACAAGCTATGGGAATAGCTAGACATAGATGGACTACTGAAGTTCAAAATAATGAGCTGTACCCTTCTAGTATATTTAAAAAATTTGGATACAAATATACAGGAATACAGGAACGAGAAATATAAGACAAACAGATAATGAAGTTGGAGTTGTCCTATCATGCTATGCGCTATTGTTACTGGTTCTTAAATCAGCTAATTTTAATTAAACAGGCAATGCAGCAAAAGATAGCTGTGCAGGAAGATAGGATGTAAACTTTAAGGTGGGTTCATGCCATGCAAGAATGCAGCAAAGAGATGAGGTGACCATTTCTGCAGGAAGATTAAGCAAACAAGTCCAAGAGAGAGGATATAGCAGGTGCTGACCAGTTAGTTAAATGTCAGTAGCAATGAAATGTCAGTAGCAAATGAAAGACGCTGGGAATGCACCATGAAGGGCTTGGACATAGAGCAAGGGTTTGATGCAACAGAGAAGAAGCACGAGGAGAAATGAAGAATAGAGGCAATCTCGTCATGGGAGAGGGCTAAAAATACTGTTTGCAGTTGCATACAATCAGTGTGAGTTCAGAATCTGGACAGAATTATCACAGATTACATTTTTCATGGATAGAAATGAGGACATAAGCCACAAAGTGATGAGAGCCTGAAACAGAGATTAACATTGCAGAGCAACAGGAAAAAGTTAATCACGCAGGAAGAATCTGCAGAACTGAGATGCAGCCTCATGTAGCAAGAGATCAGACTTGTAGACAATGACTGGATTACAGACCTAGACAACAGCATTCATGATGTGGTTGTTCTCAGCGAGAGCAGAAGGCTTGAAGCAGCTGTAATGTGGGCAGCTCAAGCTTGACTAAACATTTTTTTGTTATGTTGACATTTTAATCACCAAAAAATGGATATAATGGTTGAAATAGGTTCTCGAAGATTTTCAATTTAGATGTAAAAATTACGACTTTTCCCCTTGAAGAGTAGATTTTCTGCAAAGTAGTCAAACATCCAACCACATCTGTAGCTTTTTCTTTATTAGGAGACTGTCGGCATCTATATTATACTAGAGACGGAGGAAAAGTCCTTAATAAAAGCACCATCTGACAGGCTTCTCTTCACTTGCAAGGTTATGCATTGTCAGGACTAAAAAAAGACAAGCAATAATAGTACAGCATTTGTACTCACTACTCTAAATTGTTCCAATTTCTGATTGCCTTTAATAAAGAATGGGCATTCCTTATCTCCTGTTCTGTGTCCGTAACGTTTACACCTCCAACCTTTAAAGAAAGAAGCAGCAGTGAATTGCACCTCTGAGACAGATCGGAAGAAGTACAAAAGAAAAAACAAACCCACATTTATGCAAAGGATTTCCAATTTGTCGGAACAAGCAGAGAGATACAAGTACTGTTGATAAATTTAACGTCCATAAAATACAGGGCTATTACAGCCTTCAAGATACTGGATGCTTTTATATCAATATCATGCCAATCTACCTGGACCTCATTATCTGTCCAACAACATTCTGCCCTCCCGCCAGAGTAAATGGGTGGATATATTAAGGTCTAAATGACACCTGGAATATTTTCAGCCTTACACTGCATCACTTTGACTTCTTTTCCCAAAGGCATCCAAAGCCCTTTTGTTGGGGCATGTGCCAGGAATTCTCGTGCGCTTTCATTGCCTGGTACATCAGGTATGCAGTCTTCTGGTTTTGTTTCATTCTCCTACAAAAAAAAAGAAAAAAAGAAGAAATATAAGGACAATAACTTTTTTTTTCTTTAAACTTTGTAAAAATTAATACTTCAAGAGTGCAGGCCTTCACTTAGTATGAAACCTATTTCCCATTACTTTTTTTTTCCATTGTAAGACACAAAGGATCTAAAATTCTTTTTCTCTCACACTTGAATATTCCAGGCAGAACTTTACTGCCATATTAATTTCATTCTTTCCCATCTATTTTAGTAATTTAAATAAATTATATAAATGAAATGTAAGTTATAGAGATGAAAACTTAACACTCTTCCTGCTACAAGACATAGCAATTAAAAAAAACTTCTACAACACAGAGCGGTGTTTTTTAGGTTAAAAGCACTACACTATGGCTTAGGTATATAAATTTGGCAAAAGTAATTAACGTGATGAAAGGAAAGCACTGGTACAGAAATATCTAAGCCTAAGCAATGGAGAAGAATCCTGAAAAGTATGTCATTCAAACTGCAAATCTGCTTTCCATAAATGACTCCCCTCTATCCATACTATTAAATATTATGTGAAGTGTGAGTGCTAAGAGATGATAAAAGAACTGGTCTCCTCCTATCTGCTTCTGGGCACGTCATGTGGATCTGCTTGTAACTGAGGATTCTCCGAGTTTTTCCTGGGAAGCACTTACTTCTCTCTGCAATTTATATATGTAACACTAATACATGCCTAAAGAACAGGTTGTGTGCAAATACCTCATAATGCTAAAGATTTACCAACCTTTATTAGCCCTGGGGGAGGTTTCTCATAGCTGAAAAGCAATAGAAATATTGTTACTCTGCAGCTTATCACAGACAAATAAATCGAGAAAATACAGGTGTTCGATGGTATAGACTTAAAACCTTCAGCTCACATTTTTCCTTAAATTTTACTCTATCACTACTGACCAAGAACTACAGCAGAACATGGATGCAAACTGACTGAGAGACAGTATTTGTCATATCACCACACGTGTCTCCTGCAAACATCCTTCAGATTCACATTCTTGTGGGAGAACAACTACTTGGCGTGGATGTGTGGTACATTTAGCTTCAGTTACCACAAATGCATCTCTCCTCCTTTTCTGTAGCACTCCTCCCTAAGATCTCACTGATCCAAACTTCTTTACTCCAGCACTGCTAAATCATAGACATAGTGACCAGAAAATGTCAAGTCGGACTGTTCCTTACATCTAGCTTTGCCAGTCAAACCTAATAGAAAATACTTTCATCATCTGTGTATTAAACCTGAAGAGAGAACCCTACTGTCCAAAGTATCATATTCCCTGCAGCATTTTTCTGGAGTTAACAGTAGATACAACATTTATGAAAATCCAAATAGCAAACAGGTGCTACACATAGCACACAGCAACTGAGAAAAGTGCATGTTCTTGGGATTTAAATGCCAAGGCACCACGAAATGGTCCCGGAGTTTTAGAACACACATTATTCAGAAAGATGCAGGCCTGTATAAATTAACTTGTTTTGGGGTCTTTTTTCCCCCAAGTCTCATCTGTATTTAAAACAGACATTGTTTTCTATAAAGTGCTACCTTTGGCACAGTCTAAAGAGTCATAGAAGTGGGCAGAGATTTTTTTGCTTTTCAGCGGCACATAAAGAACAGCACTCTGCGAGACCAGAGTCCTGAAATCCTTTGCTTTATGAACGACTCTTTTCAACAGGACTTTCCAGATATTGTCTATCTGTCAGGACACAAAACATCTGTACAGGCTGTACCTCATTTTAGGCCCTAAGTTTAATGGCATATGCAATATTCTGTTCGCTTAGCTGCACACACACACCCCCTCCCTACCTACACACCTACAGGAATGCCGGGCACAATCATACCAATACCACCGGAACAGCAGTGAAAAGTTGTCTTTATAACAGTAACTTTGGAGTGCCGTTTGGTGCACTTAATAACAAATTCTCACTTCCACTTGGAAAAGAAATCACGCTCTTGTGAACCTTCTGATCTTTTTATTCCATTAAAATAATAATTCCCTTTCAGTGTAATAACATAAACCTTTTACAGCACCGCGGACTCCTGACGGAACCATCAGGCAGATCTCAAACGTTTTTATCCTAATTTTTAATTTTTTTTTATTATTTTTTTTTTAGTCCATCCTAGTGGAACAACCTCTGCTTCTACGCTGCATCCCTCGGACCTGGGAGGAACCTGGAACAGACCCGTCTGTCCCTCAGCGAGCCTTTAGTTAAGTCGCCAAGCAGCTCTTGCAGGCGGCCCCGAAGCCCCTGTGCCGACCCACCCTTAAGGGGACAGGGGAAGAATAAACCCCTCCTCCCTCAAAAAAAAGAAACACCCCAGCCCTGCGCTGTAAACGAGCCCCAGGTGCCGGGGCGGGGTGGTCTCAGAGCAGCGAGGGGCGGGAGCCGCGGGCAGCCCCCCCTCCTCCTCCTTTCCTTACAAAGACTCCAGGTGCTGGATCTTCTGCAGCTGCTGCGCCTCCTGCCTCTTCCGCTTCCTCTCATGCCGGTCCTGGGTCCTGCCGCTCGCCGCGGGCTCCGCCTGGCTCTTGGGCCGCGCCTGGCTGCCCCTCGCCCCCTCCTCCTCCTCCTGCTCCGGCCCCTCCTGCTGCCCCTGCCCCCTGGGCGCCCGCTGGGACATGGGCGCTCCGGCAGGACCCGCGGCGGACCGCGGGGCTCCGGCGACGCCCCCTCCCCGCCCTCCGCATCCCGGTTTCCGGCCGAGCGCCGACTTCCTCCTGCGCCCGCATCCCCTGGCACCCCGCCTCCCACGGGCCGGGCTGGGAGGGGGGGACACCGCCACCGTGCTGCCCCCGCCGCGGGCACCCGGCCCGGGGGGTGGGAATAACGTGCGGAGTGTTCTGCCTTCGAAACACCGATATTCAAACCAAACCAACCAACCGACAAACAAATCCCAAATCCCCAGTCATTCCTCCCTTGCAGAAGGGCCACCTCTCCCGCTGTGATGAGAGCCCACCTGGAGTGCTGCATCCAGCTCTGGGGTCCTCATCTCAAGAAAGACATGGATCTGTTGGAGTGAGTCCAGAGGAGCCCACCAAGATGATCAGAGGGATGGAGCACCTCCCCTGTGAGGACAGACTGAGAGAATTGTGTTTGTTCAGATCGGAGAAGAGAAGGCTTTGGGGTGACCTAATTGTGACCTTCCAGTACCTGAAAGGAGCCTACAAGAGAGCTGGAGAGGGACTATTTACGAGGACAGGTAGTGACAGGGCAAAGGGGAATGGCTTCAAACTAGAAGAGAGTAGCTTTGGACTAGATACTAGGAGGAAGTTCTTTGCTGTGAGGGTGGTGAGGCACTGGAACAGGTTGCGCAGGGAAGTTGTGGATGCTCCATCTCTGGCAGCGTTCAAGGCCAGCTTGGATGGGACTCTGAGCAACCTCGTGTAGTGAAAGGTATCCCTGCCCATGGAAGGGAGGTTGGAACTAGATGATCTTTAAGGTCTGTCCTACCAAAACCATTCTATGATTCTATCATTTTGTACTTGCCAGTGATCAAAATACATGCAGGTGGAAGGAGAAGGTCGGCGTCCAAAATACATAGAGTGGGGTTTTTTTCTTCTTCTTTTTTTTTTTGAATGGACAGGCTGGTGCCACGGACAGTACATATTGGTTATGGGGCAAGGTCTAGCCCCATGAAGTCTCTAAATAGAGACTTTATTTTGGAAGCAAACGCAGCAAGGTCTGGGTTGGGCCATGCTACTGCAGCAGGAGCTACCTGACAAACAAAGGACAGCTCCTCTTCAGTGTATGGGCACCCCTAGGGAGCCAAATCTGCCCCCAGGCTTTGCAGTTTCCTGCTCCAGCTGTGATCTTTCTGTTGGAGGATGAGGAATAGAAGTAGGTCAGTGTTGGGAAGGCAAAATTTAAATTTCTACTTTAGTTTCACATTGAAATTCAAGATCACATGAGATTTGCTTAAGAGCTGAGTGAAATGCAAAAAAATACATCTTAGAAGTCCAGGAATTGAAGGTGTTTATAATTGTGATCATCTTGGTGCTTTGAAAGTGCACATCAATGGCAAAGGATGGTATTTGCTATTATAGCACCCTGTGATTCTGAAGTACAGTAACACACAGTCCTGAGAAAGCCTGTCTTTTACGAGGGAAATAGCAATCTTGGGGATTTTTAAACAATTATTAAACAAACAATACTTTAATATTATTTTAGCTTCTACTTGGTAAAGCCTTATTTGGGACAAGAGATCATGTGTCTTGTTTCTCACTTGTATTTAGCTAAGTGGATGCCATTGTAATTTGAGATCCTGGAAAACTATTTTTGTCCAGTCTTTTGCAAGGCTGTTGTGCTTACTTTAAGGTTTAAACAAAATAATCTAGCTTTTGCATGCCCTGACGTTAATATATACTATTGATGAAGATTTTTCTTTCATGTACCAAATTTTGTAGGTTTACTGGCACTGGAAAGAATGCAGCAGCCCTTCTACCACAGAGCAACACTCGGCAGCAAAGCCATTTAACCGTGCAGATATGCTTCTCAAGAAAACCCAACTCCTGCTCTTCATGAACTAATTCCGAGGTATCCATCTGGCTGAGATGAGATGGCACATAAGTTGTGAGTAAACCTTTTTCCTTCATCCCATGGGTTTGTAGTCAGCTTGTGTGTTTTGCTTAGCAGTCAGCCTTTACAGAGTTTTATTAGTAGCCTTTATTTGGGCCTACACTCAGAAGAACAGGCTGAGTTGCTGCCATGTCTTGAGAAATGGCAGATCACAGCAGATGACCCGAGGTGCAAAAGTTAATGAAGACCTTCTTGGCTAAAGGCTTAGAGGCAAAATCAGTTTATTTGCTAATCTGAGTTAAATATCTGTGTATGAGGCAAATACAAGGTGATGTGAATTAAGATAATCCACTGTGAAGCAAGTTAAGCAGATGACTTGATATTCGCTGGAGGCTAAGAGATTTGCTGCTGTGACACTCCTTGTGTGTGGTAACATGTCAAATCTCAATCAGTCCCTTACATGGTCATGTATCTTCAAGCAACAAGTGAGGTGGGAGAAATATTTTTAGGTGTTGGAACTACATTTAAAAGGTCTGAAAGAAATTAGATGAGACACAGTATCAATTTTTCACTCTATTTAGAGAAATGGCAATAGTTACTAAAAGTTAAGGACCAGCTGGACTGATGCCTACTAAATAGAGACTTTATTTTGGAAGCAAACTGAAGTGATATAATAGGTTTTTGGCCCCTTTTTCAGTCCAGTGTTATTTTGTTATTTTCAAGGGCCTTTTTACTTCACATTTTTCAAACCAATAGAGTAGTCAGACCCTGGAACAGCTTTCTAGCATGTTAGGACAGTGACAGAAAACCTAATTAATTCTAAGATGGAGTGTTTCCAGTCTGTGAATGGTATTCTGTGGGAGAGGTGTGTGCAATAGCAAAAGAGACAGTTCCCCCAGAAACCCTACCAGTCTCAGTTTCGCACACCCTCAATTGTCCTAGCTTGGCTGAAGTAAGATTTCTGCCACTTTGGAGCAGGTAAGGGCCTGGCTTAGATGACCTCAGGTTAAATGACTTCATCCTTGACACAATAACTGGCACAAATTCGGGAACTAAGTGCATAGTCTCGGCAGAATTGTGGGGTTGCAAGTGGAGGCAGAAGGATAGACCATAGTATATATATTGTCCGCTTCTTACAGTTAGTCAGTGGGATCTTGGCTGTGTTATTTGCATCCTGGTGGCTCTTATGTCCAGGCTGTAATTTCTGAGCAGATCAGGGCACCTGGATGACACTCTTTACTGCAGTAACTTAATGGGTCACACAGGAGGTAAAATTCAATAGGTACACTGAATGTGGTTTAAATATATTCTTTCTTCAGTTTGACACAAATAATTTTCCATGCATTTACTCATCTGTCTTAAAAATGAACTTTATCACTTTATTACCCATCTTAGAAGAATCAAGGCCAGGGTTTTTTAATAGGACATTATTTGAAGCTGTATGGTTTTTCTTTTTTACTCCTTTGCTGAGAAAAAGCCTTGGATTCTTGTGCATGCTCACCCATGAAGACAATTGCATTCATATCAGTCCTTAGGAAAGATCAAAAGAAAATGAATTGTTAAAAGGAGGGAGTAGAAAAAAAACCCTGTTATTTTCAGTTCTATTTATTCTGGAGCAAAGATGCTCCGTATCAGTAAATTGCTTAAATCTGTTCTATTTAAAGGGTTCATATTAACTGAAGATCTGGTTCCTGGTACTTCGAAGGATACTTATTTAAAGTTGGTTGGTTTTTTTTCCCTTTATTTGATGTAGTGCTTCAGCCATTTCAAGTTAATTTTATGGGGAAATGTTGTCTTATTTTAAGAGCTGGCTGTCATCACCCTGTAATTCCAACTTCATCAGAACATCTAAGGAGAAACATTAATTGCTGTCACAATGTGAAGTATCTGAAAAGCCAGTATGTTTCATAGTATCCACTACAACTTCGTCGTGAACAACTGAACGTTTCAACTGCAAGCGATAATACTGGGACCAAATTAACTTACATCTATGTCTTCCCATGGGCATCACTATTCCTGTGAGAGTGTAACCCTGGCAGAACGTCAGCCGATCTGTTTTTCTCCATTTTTGGCTGGCTAGAGCTTTGGGCCAGGATCTGTTTCTGATTATGTGTCAGATATTACACACAGGAGAGGAATCCAGAACCCGTGTTAGGCTCCATGGGAAGTTAAGCACCTCCTAATGGGATCCAGAGAAAGCAGCAGGCTGAGCAGAGCACAGTCTAAATCCAGCATGGCCAGCCCATGGCTGCCCAAAGCTAGATGATTGGAGACATTCAGAATAGAGTGAGTCTAATATCTGGACCATTTCTGACCACAGGGATGGCTACCTCAGAACACCAGTGGCCCTTCTAACCACTTGGGAATCTCAGCTGCAAGGAGAGGTGCTGACATGCTCTCTTACAGAGAAATGAAAAGTTTTGTTTGAAGTGGAATTGCTGGCAGTTACTTTTGATACTATTTTAACAATTAGAAAACGAGAGACTTGGGTTTCAGCTCCCTCCTGGGTCTGAGTGTTCAGTGATGATGGGTTCTGCATCACTGGGACAAAATACCCTGAGCAGCAGGCTAGCAGCTACATTGGTGGGGGCCACCCAGCATTCATATTTCAGTCTTTGGAAGCAGTAGAGAAAAGCATTTGAGATTCACAGGACTGGTAGAAGAAGTGTGTTTGAACTTGGTTGTGAGTACACTAAGAGAGGTGTCCATCCCAACACTGGAAACTGCGCTTCTTTCTGTGAGATACAAAATCAATACTCGAGGCAGGGGCCAGAGCCCGGTTCTCCCTTGATAAGCACCATTGCACTAGGCCACAATATTTTGCTCCTAGTTCCTGCTTCTCAGATTAGTCTCAAGTTTAAAACAGCACTGCTCAGAGGTGAAAAGTGTTCCTACACACCTGAACCTTACTGTGGTGTTTGCTGCCATGTGCCATCACATAAAGGGAGCAAATGTCTGAAAGAACATGATGGCCACAGCTGCATTTTGTGCAGTCCTGTCCGTGTTCAAGACTGTACATGTCTACGGGGACAAGCCTTTTAGGAAAATTGGGCAGAACAGCAAAGTTTCCATCAAAGTTGGATCCGAACTAAGCACAGATGTGAACTAAGCATTGAATTGTTTGTTTCTATAAAGACTAGGT